ATATCACATGGTAGATCATGTTGTAAACAATCTATCCCCTGTGTACTCTTATTATAAACACTGTAGGCTAACAATGCTGACATGATATCACATGGTAGATCATGTTGTAAACAATCTATTCCCTGTGTACTGTTATTATAAACACTGTAGCCTAACAATGCTGACATGATATCACATGGTAGATCATGTTGTAAACAGTCTATCCCCTGTGTACTGTTATTATAAACACTGTAGCCTAACAATGCTGACATGATATCACATGATAGATTATATTGTAAACAGTCTATCCCCTGTGTACTGTTATTATAAACGCTGTGGCCTAACGATGCTGACATGATATCACATAGTAGATCATGTTGTAAACAGTCTATCCCCTGTGTACTGTTATTATAAACACTGTATTCCAACAATATTGACATTATATCACTTGGTAGATCATGTTGTAAACAATCTATCCCTGTGTACTGTTATTATAAACACTGTAGCCTAACAATACTGGCATGATACGGTTTGTTAGTTGTTTTTATAAACGATTTAGCTCCTTAACACTAACATGATATCATCTGATTGATATCTCTATAAACAACGAAGTTCAACAGTATTGACATGATACCAACCGTCCGTCATTCATTAAACAATGTGAAGTAACTAATATTATGAACAGAAACAGGCAACTTCGCACTTACAAATACTTAAAAGCTGAGTGTGTTTTTTTTTTATTAACGACGTACTCTACAATGAACTTTACTACAACCATTTCCTGCCAATTAATTCGCAAAATAACAGTTGTTTCAATCAGTTAAAATTATGGATTGTAAAACAGCTATTATAAATTGTTTTTTCTTTTTCATCAGTGCCTTCTAAAATGGCATGACGAAAATTAAGAGAATGTTTTACTGTCCAAAAATATCTCTAGTTAAACACCCCTCTCTAAATTTGTATCTTGTACCTATATTGATAGTATGCATGCATCTCTGTTCGATTATTGGACGTTTCCCACTTAATTTAGCACTAAACAGCATTTTATACATTTTTCTTCTTCCTACAAAAACATTAGTAATCAATTCTACTTGATTGTTTTTTTTTTAGTAATGAATTTTTTGTATGTTTCAAAATGTGATTCTTTAGCTATTGAGTCCAAACTTTCACAATATTAACTTAGAGAGAATATTTTTTCTAGTTGGATGACTGCACTCTGCAGGTTTACAAATATAACAATGACGAAGTGGATTACGCAAACTACTTGGATTTAGAATCGACAATAGACGAACAGTCCGAAGAATTTGATGGATTTTCAGACAAGTAAGTTGCATTTTAGGTAGAAAAAAAAACCAATCAGTTGAAAATGTATGTACTTTATGATCATTTTATTAACTTCAACTTACATGTAACAATCCGTGAAACAGGCCATGTCACAAGCCTTGTAACAATCCATGTCACAATCCCTCTAACAGGCCTTGTAAAAAGGTATGTAACAAGCATTTAACAAGCTCTGTAAAAGACATATCACAAGCCCTGTAATAAGCCATGTAAAAAGACTTGTAACAAGCTACGTAGAAAACGCTTAACACGTCGTGTAACAAGCTAGTAACAATCTCTGTAACAAGCTAGTAACAATCCCTGAAACAAGTCATGTAACAAGCCGTATAATAAGCCCTGCAACAAGCCTTGTAATAATCTATGTAGCAAGCCCCGTAACAAGTCATGTAACAATCTCTGTAACAAGCTAGTCACAATCCCTGAAACACGTCATGTAACAAGCTGTATAATAAGCCCTGCAACAAGCCTTGAAACAAACTAGTAACATCCCTGAAACAAGTCATGTAACAATCCCTGAAACAAAACATGTAACAAACTAGTAACAATCCCTGAAACAAGTCATGTAACAATCTGTGTAACAGGCTAGTAACAATCTGTGTAACAGGCTGTAACTAGTCATGTAACAATCCCTGAAACAAGTCATGTAACAATCTGTGTAACAGGCTAGTAACAATCCCTGTAACTAGTCATGTAACAAGTTTTGCACATCATTTCAAGTACACTACATTTTTTCCAAGTTATTATTCAGATACTTTGTTGTGTTTTGATTCACAATGTAGCTAGGTCCTTTTTTGTCTTAACTTTATCATAATCATTAACTCTAATAAGCGTTAGAATGTAGGACCTTTACTAGTATTCAGTTGTAGTTACAGATTTAGTTTTGGGAACGTATATGAGTGAGAAACATGTATTTATTATTATATGACACATTCAAGATAAATCATGAAACATTCAGCGTATGTTCGAAGATATATATAGCAGATAATGTTTAGCACGGGAATGTACTTTTTTATTCGCGATTTAACCGAAACTTAAGCAACAGTTTTAAGAATACGTGTAACTAACATTATTAGCTTATATAGTTTTGGTAGTTTTGTGTGTAAACATCCCTTAGGTAAGCAACATCTTCCAATAACAAGAGATTTGAAGATCGTAAGCTTGGCTGAACGGTGTTGAAAGAGCTTACTTGTATCAAAAAGGATGACCCTTAGCAACTAAAGTTTGACTTTACAGAATGTCGGACTTAAGTGAAGACATGGTTGTAACAAAACTAAACTATACTCGACATCACTAAAATCGACTTTCTCCAGTAGTCATTAAATTACTATACAGAGACTAATCTCTACTGATACGGAGTCTAAATATAGCAAGCATAAAACGTTTCTCTTTTTTTAACACCACCAATAACATCACCAGGCCTGACATACGACTCGCAATTTGGCGGTAGCAGATTCCAATTCTGTCACCGAACGTAATCGCCTTTTCAGTCATGGGGGCGTCATAATGTGACGGTCAATCCCGCTATTCATTGGTAAAAGAATAGCCCAAGAGTTGGCAGAGGGTGGTGTTGGCTAGCTGCCTTCCCTTTAATCTATTACCTCAAAGCTAGGAATGGCTAGCAAAGATAGCTCTCGAGTAGCTTTGCGCGCAATTCCACAAAAAACAAACAAACCAATCAGATCAAAGTTATAATTTAATGACTGCTCTGTATGCCTATGTTACTCCTGTCAAATAACCTAAAAAGGTCAACTTTAAGGTTATTAATGCCCAACAGACCACTTAAAAACACAGAGACAACCTAAAATTGAAAATAACAACAACAAAAAAATGAGCATAGCATTTCAGAGATTCTGACTTGACTGGTCTGACTATTAACAGTGTCTGTTCTTCTCTGATTTCGATTATGGTGGATCTGAGAGTTTATTTTTTGTTGTTGTTTTTTACACCAAACCTCACGTCATTCACATAGAAAAGATGGAGAAAAAGCATCATCCTATGGGTACTATCAGCCAAATTGGTCAGGAATACGGCTTATTACATCAGATTAATTTACTGGAAATTACCAAACTAAACGTCAGAAGAGAAATATCAGTTAACTGCTAAAGGCTACAACTTGTTTGTACATTATGATTGACCAGGCTAGCAACTTTGAAAACAAAAGATGATGTTGATCACTTATGTCAATGATTTTCCTGCGTGTTGAGCTATGATTACATAAATTGGATGGTCTTCTCAAATATGTGACAAATGTAATGTCTTGCACTTTGTGTGTATTGTGGCAGGACCCTATCCTGCAAATTCATGCAACAAGAATAATGATAATGTCTCCAATATCGATCACTGGACAGCTAAACAATTAAACAAACTACTGCTATGGCTTTCCATCTGACTTGGAGATAAAGTATGAACATAATCTACACAAACTGTTACTATGACTTTCCTCCTGACAATGAAGTGAACATCACCTACACAAACTGTTACTATGAATTTCCTCCTAACCATGAAGTGAACATCATCTACACAAACTGTTACTATGACTTTCCTCCTGACCATGAACTGAACATCATCTACAGAAACTGTTACTATGACTTTCCTCCTGACCATGAACTGAACATCATCTACAGAAACTGTTACTATGACTTTCCTTCCAACCATGACCTGAACATCACCAACACAAACTGTTTCTATGACTTTCCTCCTATCCATGAACTGAGCATTACTTACACAAACTGTTACTATGACTTTCCTCTTAACCATGAAGTGAACTTCACCTACACAAACTGTTATTATGACTTTTCTCTTAACCATGAAGTGAACTTCACCTACACAAACTGTTACTATGACTTTCCTCCTGACCATGAACTACTCAGTAAAAATTTGGCAAGCGACAAAGTTCAACTTAGTTGGGGAAAATACTACCACTCTGTGTCCACAACCTTCAATTAATACACAGACAAGTGAAATAAAAGTACAATATCATCTTAGTATGGTTCTCCATTAAACCAGAAAATAGTGTTCGTAAGAATATTCTTACCAGACAGGCAAATGTACAAGGAATTAAACCAGCTTGTTCAGACATTCATCTGTACATGGTTGCAGGTATGGGTTGATCTACGTTACCACGGTCATTATGTGAAAATATGTGCAGAACCGTGATGTTCCTTTCATCCTCCTCATGGACTACACATTCATTGACAGTTGTTCGCGCCAGAAGTGTAAATTCCAACACCTTCAGTGTTAAATGCGACATACCAGAGGATTTTGAGGAAAGATCCACAAGGAAAATCTTTCATTTTGGAATAATAGTGGTGTTTTATGCCCCTGGTACAATTCTTTCCTGAAGCATTCGATTTATCTCTGTGCTTGGAAAAGCTCCATTATACGACGGAAGTCTGTGAGGTAGCTACATGATAGGTGATAGATTAATGAGGGGGGAGCCAAACGTCTCTCTGGGACAACAAAAGTATGAGAATACTTCAAGAGCAGCCTACAGAGCTCTAGGAGCTGTTCAACATCCATATCAACCTGTCAATAACAATAGTTTATGTGAAAGCTCGTGTACACGTACTGGGATACGCTGATGGGTGTATGGTATAGGTACTTTACCTACTGTTAGTGTTATAAGGGAATGAGCCAGTGCTGTATGGTAGAGCTCCAGTGTGGGACTAGTCATGTGTGAACCTTCACAGTACACTGCTTGGTGCTTAGATGAAACATCCTCCACCTTTAAGTACTCTTTCTGTTCTAATCCTTGTGATGGTAGACTGTAGATCAGACAGGCTTTTTTATTCTGAAGCACTACCATCCCCATATATCTGTCTCAGAACTAGGTCAGTAGTTATACCATCGACTTATGTGGATAGGATAGCCTGAAATGAATCACTCCCGTAAGTCAAGAAGTATGATTCAAGGTGATATGGATAGGA